TACCTCTGACAAACTGATCACTGAGCCCTTCCCCAGCTCCTGGAGGAATCAGCACTCCCCGCGCAAACCTAGGAATGGGTGGCTTCTACCTCCAGGTGGGGTGTGTGGTTTTCCATCTACGCATCACTGACAGCCAGTATTTCTCGATTTCACAGGATGAGGTTATGGCTCCCCAAGCTGGGCCAGCTGCAGGCTGCATTGCTGTAGGTGACATGGACAGATCCCAGAACCTGGAAGGCAGAGGGGGGAGGAAACCCCTGCTCATTTCCCTTTCAGAGCCCCCTTCAAAGACGGGCCAATAGGGGAGGAGAGGACGAAGGGCAGAAAGTGAAGCTGCCCCGTGGAGAGGGCACTCCTGTAGAACCCACTCCAGTTCCCAGCTCTCCCCCACATTGCTAGGTGTGACCTTGGAGAGGTCACTTCATCACCTTCATTCTCTGTCTGTAAAATGGTGGTACTAGTCTCTCCTCCCCCCCCCAAGGAGGAGAAGGGAGGAGAGTCCCATTCTCTGTGAGGGGCTCGGACACTCTGGGCCTGGATTGTGCAGAGTGAGGGAAGACACCCAGAGTTTGCTCCCTAGACCCAGAGGAGGAGGATGGGATCAGAAGGTCAGCCAAGGGGGATGGGTCAGGAACTGCTGCAACAGACGGGACTTAGGGATTCAGTCAGTGCCAGGGACTTTGTACCTCCCTTCAGCAAATGGCTTTCCTCTTGTCATCAGCAGTCTGGACACTATCTGAACTCCTTCCTAGTGTCCTCAAGGGGCTCCCTTCGTTCTTCTTGACGGTGACCCAGGTCAATAGCTGGGAAGTTCAGAGAGGCCATTCATAGAGAGGCATGAAATCAGTGGGAAAGCTACATTTAGCAAAAGAAAGGTGTCATTGGCCTTTGCAAATTCGGAACTGATCTGGCCTCTCAATCGACAGTACACGTTCACAAGGGGATGAAGCGCGCTATTGTGGTCAGGTGATCTATGAGAGTCAGTTCCATCCTGTGGCCATTTGAATCAGTGAAATTCCTGGCAATGGTTGCCCATGGCCCGGGCAGGGTCTCCAGAGGCCTGAGATGCCAAGAAGTTTGGTGCGTGGTGCCTTGGTGAAAGCACAGAAGTCACGTCAGTCAAGCTAAGTCTGAATTTCAGCCCACATCTGGCACCACCAAATGAAGCGGGCCCTGGTGGTCATAGTAGATGCTTCTACTTCCATGATGAATGCTGAGCCTCCGAATAGGTGCTGTGGGGAAGGCAATTCTGAGCTGTTTGCGGGCTTGTTGGAACTTGGGTGACCAAACGAATGTGGCCGTTATGTGGAGGAGAGCTCTCGTGGAGGTTACTGGCTCTGAGAACCCTGGGCGGAAGCAGCAGTAAAGCGGGTGAAGTCTAGGCAGTGCTGCTCTTCTTGAAGACTTCAAACTTCGTCCCATCTATGAATGGCTTCCACTTTATTTGGATCAATCGTAACACCTTCTGGGGAGAGGATGTACCCCAAAACCTCTGAGGAGAGTTGGCTGGAGGTACGCTTTTCCAATTCTGTGTTGAGACCATGCTGCCGAAACCTCTCCAGGTTCGGGTGTGGTGCGGGTGCTGCTCCGGGTTCTCCAGAAAGAGAAGTCTGTCACCTGAATAGATGACACTGTGTGGATCCACTATGTCCCCAAATACATCACTGATGATGTGTTGCAAGGCCAGGGGACCGTTAGTTCGCTCCAATGGCCGATCAGACAGTTAAAATGTCCATAGTGTGCTTTGAAATCTGGTTTCCATTTGTCCCCTGGCCAAATGAGCGTTAGATTGGAAATCCTCGCAGATGAAGTTTGATGAACAACTTTGCAGATTTCCTGTGAGCCAACAATTGTGGGATTCACAGCAGGGGATAATGGTTCCAAACGATCAGTTTTTTCAGGGGCTGATTGTCTAAAGAGAGGTGTAGTAGACTCCCACATTTCTTCTTCCCAAAAAGGGCCTGGGCACCCGTGGGAAACGCATATTTGGTCATAAACTCTTAGGATCAGTTTTTAGAACTGTATGCAGGGAGAGCCACCAATTCTGGTTCCAGCAATGTGTAAATACTGAGGAAGGCAACTTTCAACCAAGGCTATAGGTCAATAGGGCAGTCATAGTACCAGTGCAGCGGAAACGAACCCCCATTTCTTTCAAAGATATCCATGTAATCCGGGCATTTATCAGGATTGCCGGGTGTCTGAGTCAAGAATGGTGGAGTAGGTCCAGGGGCGGAGGCTGGTTAAAGGAACCCCAACATTTTTTCAGTCATTTCCATTGCACAACTCCAGTCGGGGCTGCATTGGACGAGGCTCAGGTAGTGAGGTCATTGTTCACATCTGGTGTGGTGTGTCCCTTTTGCATACGGGCCACTTACTTGTGGAGGGCCTGCTTTTCTGCAAAAAGTTGCACCACCTAATGTCACGTGCTGAGTCTGATAATTAGGCCCAGTGGTTGGAGCGCAGGTCGCAGGGAGGTGCAGGATTGTGCCTAGGCTAAGAATGGTGCTAGAATCAAGGTCCAGGGACACACCAGGGTCAAAACCGAGATCAGAGTCCATCGACAAAGCAGAAGCAGAGCCAGTGTCCAAGTCCAGGCCAGAGGTCATAGCCGGGTAGTCAGAGACCAAAGATCAGCCAAGCCAATGTCAAGCCAGAGTCCAGATACAGGACGAGAGTCAAAGCCGGGTAGTCAAAGTCCGACTGCTTGGGGAAGATAAGGAGGAAAAGGCAATGCTGGAGCGGGTCGGTGGGGGGCCTGGAGCAGGGCTAGAGAAGGGCAAGGAGAATACGGAACCAGGGTGGGTAGCCAACATCTGGAGCCAAGAAGGGTCACGCTGAAGTCATAACCAGAGACCGGAGCCAAGGGTCAAGCCAGAGTCAATAGCGAGGAACCGGAGGGCAGGGCAGGGCAGGGTGGTGCATGCAGGCGGGAACCAGGATGATTTACAGGTTCTCCTAGGCACTGCCCAGCTGGAGCTCTAAAGACCCCTCATTGGGGGACTCCCTTCCTAGGAATAAAAGAAGGAGAGCAAGATGACAAAGATGTCTCTGACCCTGGGGTCCAAGCCAAGGGGAGCTCCCACCCCGGCATTGTGCCAGGACCCCATCACCCTCCTGGTTCCTTTCACACTCAGAGACCCCTTAGCAGGAGGGGAGAATAAAGGGCAGAAAGCGAAGGTGCCCCTGGGGGAAAGGGACCGGCCTGGGACCCAGTCCAGTTCCCAGATCTACCCCCAGAAGTGTGTGACCAGGAGCACAGCCCTTCCTCTGTGTCTCAGACCCCACCTGCCAGATGGGGAGGAGCTTTCCTTGCCCCAAGCTGCTAGGGGGGAGTTTCATTCCTGGCTGGGAAGGGTTCAGATACCGGCTGGGTGGCTTGGGCCCCAGGTGAGGGATGGTCAGACATTCACTGCGACGGGGTGACACGGGCCATGGGGAGGTCTGAGCAGTGACGGCAGGGGAGGGACTCCACGTCGGGCCACCCCTCCCAGACTGCAATGGTTCCTGAGGATAACCCCTGGCTCTGCGGATGCTCTCATTTCTGGGCCAGCCCCACGGCGCTGATAACCTGATGCTTCCGAAACTGGCCTCTGGGCATGGGGGCAGGGACCGTAACTGGCCTGGCCCCAGCTCCAGGGGTCGGGGAGGGGCATGGCGGTGAGAGTGAGGTGCTCGGCCTGGGTTTCTCTCAGTGCTGTGGGGTTTATGTCCACTCCCCCCAGCCTTTCTCCCCCAGGCCCAGTGAGACAGAGCAGTACCTGCAGCAGGGAGTGGGAGCTTCTGGTCATGCGAGGGGGCAGAGGGGACTTCAAAGGTGTCCCACTGCACACAGCCCCTGCAGTGCTTTGGGCACCTGGTGCAAGCACCGGATGTAGAACAGGTGCACCATGATCGTTGCGCTAACATCCTCCTGCTGAAAGGGAACAAGAATCAGTCAGAGACTAGACACCCATGGCAACGAAGGGCATTAACAGCAACGGGAACCGGCAGAATTTCCACCCCACTCCTCCCCTCATCTGAGGGACGGATTCCCCCACCCAACCCCCGAGACGAAATCTTTTCTCCTCTCTAGTGACCTCCAACCCCACTCCCACCATTGTGGAATGAACTCCTGCCCCCATTCCTCTCAGTCCCCCCGTGAGAGCTGTTCTACCTCCCAACCCAGCTGGGGGTTCAGCTCCGCTCCCCAGAATCCCCTCAGTCGCCCTCTCCCCCTCCACCTGAGGGGCTGGGAGGCTCTGGGCAGTAGTGCCGGGGGGGTGAGATGTGGACACCTTTTCCCAAGGGACGCCCCTGTTAAGATGACGCCATGGACAGTGGTTCTGGGGAATGGGGCACTTGAGCAGTCTCTGCTGACTGACTCCTCCAGTTCTCCCAGAGCAGGTGGTGGCTGGGATAACACAATACCAGAGCCCTAGGAACCGGCTTGAGGCCCTGAGGGGTGGGAAAGGCTCACAGAGGTCGCATGGGGAATTGGCAGCCCCTAGTATGAGCAATGGCAGCGTGTCGTGATGATGGGATGAATGTTAGGAAATAGCCTTGCTGGAGAGCTGGGTCTGCCCTGCTTTGAGCTGCTCAGGGGACAAACTGGCACCAACCAATGGCACCTGCCTGGGTTCATCCTCTCCTTGCTCCCAGGTCAGTGCATGGGGATGGGATGGGAATGACTTTCAATGGCCTGGAGGTGAAAGGCCCTAGGGCTCCCTCCCCAATTGATCCTTCTTTGGTTACCTCATCCCCTATCAGCTGCCCAGCTTCCCCCAGGATGGAGTACGTTAGCACCAGCCCAGCCTGGCTGACACGGATCTGGGGGTCATGGCCAGAAGCGCCGCCTAGAGGAAAGATCTGTGCAAAGACCTAAAACCAACAGCACCACAGCCCTTGTCAGTTGCCCAGAACCAGGCTCCAAATCCCTCTAGTATCTCACAAGGTGAATAAGAGTCCTGGGGCAGCCAACCTTTGGGGTCCCATGGATCAAGGAACCCCCATCAGTAAGAGGTTGCAGGCACTGAGGAATAGCTCTTTCTGGAGCAGGATTCACCGCAGGTGCCATGACATGCTGGGAATGTGTCTGCGCACTCTGGAACCAGCTCACACAGACAACAAAGGATCCCTACTGCTCCCAGCAGCGATATCTCCTGCAGCTCACCTGCTAGAGGAAAGGGCCTTTTAGATCTGTTTCCATTCCCGCTCCTCACCCCACTGACATTCCCACGAGCGTCATGGTGCAGTGACTCAGCCAGGAAAGGGGCTCGGTGTCCCTCACCCCAACGCCCAGCGCAGGGGCAGGTTCTGCTCCCTGACTCGTCATGGTGCTGAGCGAACCCCACACCCAGCCTGTGCTTCCACAGGCTGCAGGAAATCCAACGGGGATCTGTTACGGCAATAGCTGGTGTGAGCTTCCCAACTCTCTGAGCCAGGGACTCCCCTCTCAGACACCAGCGTGTCAGCCAGGGAGAGTGAGCGGAGCCGGATCCCTGGAGATACAAGCCTCCATTAACTCAACCCCCCAGGGGATCCCTTGTATGCCATGTAGACATAGATCCATGGAACACACACAAGCCCGGACCGTTAGCAAGGCTCCAACCCGGAGTCCTCGGCCTCTTGCAGCCGACACTGTCAGCTGGAAATAAGTATCATAGAATATCAGGGTTGGAAAGGACCTCAGGAGGTCATCTAGTCCAACCCCCTGCTCAAAGCAGGTCCAACACCAACTAAATCATCCAACAGATTTTTGCCCTGTCCCGAGACTTTTTATGAGCGGGCTCGTATTTTGAATGGGTGGCCTGAGCGGGAGTCTGCTGCAGCTTGAACGTAGGTTTAGCCGGAGCCAGAACATAGAGACCCAGACTCTGGAATACCATGTACCATTGGGCTGGCGCCACTGCACCTGCTATGGCACCAGTGGAGCCAACTGTTCGGCCGGGTTGGCCTGAAGGGAGACCGGGTTGACATGTGACCTGCCGCTGTTTCTGGACCAGGAGGAGCAGTGGCACCGGGAGCGATGCTGACCATGGGACTGCGATCCCAATGTGGAGGACCGGTAGCAACAGCTGCTCTGCAATTGGTTCTGGTGGGCGGATCCGCGACGGTGAGACGCCAGTGATCAATGCCCGGGGCTGCGGAGGCAGTGGTGGGGCAGGGTGCCATGGCGGGGTCCCGGAGCAGGATGACGAATGGGAACAATGTCAACGGTTGTGCCGTGACCGGCTGTGATAGCCCCTCTGAGACGAAGACCTTTGGCTTCTGGTAAATGTGGTTAGCTGTTCGGCTGCATGTGTGTGTTCGCCCTGTGTGCTGCCCCAATCTCTATGCAGACAGCTGGCACAGCAAACTTTGAGCGAACTGCCCAATTACCACAAGCTCTGTTAAGATACAAAGGCACTGGGCCAGGTTTATTGTCAACAAGGCACAGTAATAGCACCTGTCAGACTCTACGAGGATACTAAGAAATGTATGCCTGTGATAATGGACAGCTCAGTGAATGGCGGGACTTTCCATTCCCCCCTCAGCTGGACAAAGATACTCCCTCTGAGATACATCTTTATACCCTGGTACCAACAAGTTAGTACTGTCCCTCTGACATAGTTACTGCCCCCCCAACGTCGCTAGTTAGTACTCATCTTGTATATGTTGGTTCAATCAAAACATCCCTTAGGTACTGCCATCCTGACCTTATCTTTTAGGAGGGTTCAGTGTGTTCCTATTATCCTTCGGCAATGTTTTTGTACCATCCTTGATATCGGGATGTTCTGGTACCACTTGATATCAGGGTGTGTTTGCTGAGTACTCTGTGACTAGCACTGCTTAGGCATGTGTATTTCTGCAATATCAGCCCTGTTCTTGCCAGATTCTGTGAGCAGGTCCTGCCTCATATCAGGCCTCTGATACAAGGGCTTATGTCTCAGGCTCTCTTCCTACTACAGTAAATAGTTGCACAGCTATTTTTCCAAGTGCATGCCACATCCCAGACTAAACAGAGCTTTACATCCACTATTTGGAAAGACTAACCCCTTAGTAACACTGGGCTCAAAGCATTGGCCAAATGAAACTTTACAAGGAAGTCTGGTTCTCACAGACCAAATGGGGCCATAACTGTGTTATTCAGTTTGCTAGAAGCAGTGAACTAAAGTAGAACAGGAAAATCTTGGGCTGTCAACATGACTGAGTTTTCTGGCAGTGGCAATGAAAGCAAATCCTCATGTAAGATAATGAAATAAAAGGTCATTTGGCTCCAGAGTTAAGAAAGAAGACATATCATTGGAAGTTTTAGGCAGCAGGTTCAGGTTACCAGTGTGTAATAAAGGCAGAGACAACAGATGGTTCTTAAGCAATAAGCTTGGAGGCAACATATCTGTGGCAACAAGAGATGTTTGGTAAGGCAAGAGATCTGGATGTGTTGCAAAGTCACACTCAATTTTCATAATAATGAAATTCCAGTAAGATTCAAAGCTTATCACTATGCTTCTGGATGCTGCAGCTACTGGATGCTGGAGGTTAATGTTCAGGAAAGCTGCTACTGGAAAGGCATCTTGGAGGATACTGTGACAAAGTTCCTCCTCTATCTTGGTGGGTCCTGTGCTTATTGGCGGATTTTCTTGCCTCAGAGATTCACCATGTGGGTTGGGGAACAACCCAGAGACCTTCCCCTCTGGAAGAATCCACAGTCCAGGGCAATTGGGAGGTTTGGGGGGAACCCAGGCCCGCCCTCTACTCCGGGTTCCAGCCCAGGGCCCTGTGCACTGCAGCTGTCTATAGTACCTCCTGTAACAGCTGCATGACAGCTACAACTCCCTGGGCTACTTCCCCATGGCCTCCTCCAAACACCTTCCTTATTCTCACCACAGGACCTTCCTCCTGGTGTCTCATAACGCTTGTGCTCTTCAGTCCTCCAGCAGCACACCCTCTCGCTCCCAGCTCCTCACATTCACACCGCAAACTAAACTGAGCTCCTTTTAAAACCCAGGTGCCCTGATTAGCCTGCCTTAATTGATTCTAGCAGCTTCTTCTTAATTGGCTCCAGGTGTCCTAATTGGCCTGCCTGCCTTAACTGGTTCTAGCAGGTTCCTGATTACAGCTCCTGCTCTGGTCACTCAGGGAACAGAAAACTACTCATCCAGTGACCAGTATATTTGCCCTCTACCAGACTCCTGTACCCCACTGGTCTGGGTCTGTCACAATACACAGAAATGGCATGAAGATCCTAGGAGTTTGTGTTTTGAGACAGAAGACTAATTTCTTTACAAACAACCCCCATAGTTAGGGTGACCAGACGTCCCGATTTTATCGGGACCGTCCCGATATTTCCTTGTTTGTCCCGCGTCCCGACCGACGTGCGGTCGGGACAACCGGACA